GACACAGATGAAATAGGCTGAATCATTCGGGTCTGCTGATAGGATGGCGCAGCCGCCCTCCAGGAATTCTGGCAAACCACTAACTCGCTGGCACGGCGGACCATCTCGGAGTAGGGCAGAACTCCGTGGCCAGTCAGGGTATAGCGAAGGTTGGGGCGAAGACCATCACGAAAACAAAAGGCCTTCTTCTCATCGGTATTTACAAGCATCGGGGAAAACATGCACATACGAGTGAAGTCGTGCTCGTAGACATCCACGGGACGAGGTCCCTGCTTAAGCACCCAGAAGTCCTTCATCATCTGGGCACAGTAAGCATACGGATAATACTTGTCCTTGACTATAGCAACCATCTGGTCCCAAGTCAAGGCATCTCTCTCAGCACCAGAGTGAAGCCTCCAATAGTCGGTCCACCAAGTCCTAGCATCTCCGGTCATCATGAACGAAGCACAACGGATTTTCACCTCACAGTGGTGAACAACAGATCGAAGATACTCTCTAGCTGCTGAAGCCATTCAGCCCCAGCTTCGGGGCCCTCAACCCCGGTGAATGCCGGAGGATGCATGCCACGGAAATCAAGCACAGACTGGGTAATAGGATCTCTACCCAGTGCGTGCTGATGAGGAGGAGGAGGTGGAGGCGGGAGAGGTGGTTGCTGCTGATTGCTATTGCGGGTTTGACGAACCATAGTTCTACATTGACAAATGGATCGAAAATGCTTAGCACAATAATAAGGGAAAGACTAGAGTTCAACTCTAGAGTTCGAAATTTAAAGGTGGATAGTCCTAAACCCAAAAAAAAAAAAGAAATCACAGTCAAATAGTTTCATTGCTACAAGAAAAACACAGTTCTTATTATAAGTATTTTCATTGATACTTATAAGAAATACATTAAGCAGCGCGGCGTGACGAAGACGAGTGGTCGAACATAAGAATCACAATTACATAATCACATAAACATGCAATTCACATATCAACTAGTCTACAGAAACACAGACTGGCTCTGATACCAAACTGTAACACCCCACTTTGATTTTAAAGAAATTCTGGACTTTCCAAAAATCAGTAAATAATTTTCGAACTCATTTTCGAAAACATGGGCATTATTCATACATTTAACCTCAACCAAGTCATATCTGGTTGCTCGGGCATTCATTACCCGAATTTTCACATGGTTTTTATTAACCAGATTTTTCAAAATTCTCACAAGTTATTCAGCTCAACACGATAGCGTAAAATAGCAAGGCAACATAAACTAATAACCAAACATGTTCATCAAAATACTGCAAATCCAACAATCTCAAAAACATAAGTTCAAAATCATTTCATCGAGTCTAAACCCAAAACAAGGTACCATAAGAATATGCAATTATTCAAAAAGCGGAAGTATAAACAATGCATGATAAAAAGACCGACCCCCTCGTCCTTTCCTCATCACCCTGCACCTGCTTAACCTGCATCCGTGAAGAGCAGGTGGGAGTGAGCACAAAATAAAACGTAGTGCTCACTACTATGCACATATATAAACATGTTAAAGTGGTATGGTCACAACATGAATATAAAAAACAATACTAACAACATGGCTTATCTCCTATCACAACAAATAACCTCACTCCTGTGCACATCTATCGCTAGCCGTAGAACGGGGATTCATTACCCGAAGGCGGGAGTGCGTGCCACTGTAACAGACACGGCCTTCCATACGGGATTACGTACCTCACAAGGGTCACGACCATATCAGGATTTAAGGAGACTTGCCTCGCAAGGGCAACCGTACCGTAACTTGACGGGGACAACCATACCGACGGCCATAATAGCTCACGTCGATAGGCTACATATCTCACATTCATACATAGATCATACCAACCCAACAAATAACGAACACATACGACATAGAAACTTTATAAGTAAACCCACCTGGATTCCGGATTGACAACAGCAAAAATAGATAAGACGTAGGTTGAGGCTTGACTCCTCAAACATCTACAATAATCAATGTTCTAAGATCAATACCTATCTTGACCTTAGAGGAAATTAACAAGTCATACTTGGTCGAACTTGATTCAACCAAGTTGTTCGTGAAGTCCTGTGGATGTTGTGACTATAGGACTTAGACTCGGACATCCAAACATGGGAGTTAACGTAAATATCACATAATTAGGTTGATCAAGGTGTTGAATGAGTTAAGTTCTAAAAATTTAACATAAAATTGTCCTCTTTGAACTTAGTGAAATCACTAAGTTTCAGCCCCAAACCCATTAAACACAATTTTATAAAATTCAAATACGATAACAACAAAAACGAGCATAAAATTCAAAGTCCGACCTAACAAACGAATTAGCACATAATAGTTTTACTAGAGCAATTTCAGCAATTAAGGATCAAATACACAAATTATGAAAATTCATAGAAGATTTATCACTTTATCAAATTTTAATTAAAACCAAACCAATTCCAATTCCAAAAATTCCAATATTCTTTCAGCACGCAAATACACATAAAATAAGCATCTCAACCAAAAATAAGAATTTTCCAGCAATTAACCAATTTATCAAAATTAAAACATCTTTCTACAGAAAAGGTAAACAAATTATTTACCCTATCAATATCAATCCAAAAATTCTAAAAGTTTTATACAACAACCAAATCTGACAGATTGACAACATATTAAAATTTCATGAATTTTGGAGCACTACACAATTTATTATGAATTAAACATGAATCGGTCCAGAAATCACTATAATTTGTAAAAATAGCTACAGACCTCAGAAAATTCTGAAATTTTTACACGAGCTACATAATGACCGGAGGCAATTACAGTAAAAATTTTACAGCAATCAAATCAGCATATAATATTTAAAAATTTGAACATCAAAACAGCAAGCATATGAGGTAATTAATTCAAGCACGACTCAACAAGACTCAAATTTGTTCCGAGGCCTTCACTTAAGACCAAGAACACGTTGTTCCAACTCCTACAGCAACTTAACACGAGTGTACATGATCTCGTACGAGTTCGCAAGAACAGATAAGATCAATACATAATCAATTAATAACATAGTTCATATATTCGATCACAAAACGCATAACATGAACTCACCAATAACACCTCAACTCACAGGTCACATTTATATATTCATAGAAAATGATAAATTCAACTACTAAACACATAAGTAATGAAAGAGAATTCGAGCCTCGGTACTGTTCTCAGAAAAGCTTGGAAAAACGGGACGAGAGAAACGAACTGCACGTCAAAGGCGGCTCGCGAGAGGAGGACAGTGGTGAGCAGCAACAGCATGGGACCGGTCGCGTGGACAACAACACTACACAGGGGCTTGCGAGGGACGCACAGCGGACCGATGACGGAACACGCGGACAGCAGCCGGAGGAGCTCGAAAGAAAAACGCGGGGAAAAGGGGCGGCGCTGGTATGCTGCGGGGAAGGTGGTGCCGGCGATCAGTTTAGGATGGATGCTCCGATGGTGATGATGAAGGTGATGATGAGGGAGTGATGTTGGTGGTGATGCGATTATGCTGATGATTATGGTGCGAACGTGATGATCGAGAATGATGGGAAGACATGCTGCTGTGATCGATCGCGGATGGGAGAGCAGATTTTCTTCTCGTTCTTTATCTTTTTTTTTTTGGCGTGAGATAGCAGATGGGAGAAGAGCTGCGGGGTTGGTTTTTGTTGTTGAGGGGTTTGGGAAAAATATTTATACATACAACTTAGGTCAAATAATTTTTCTTGGCTCCCAAGAAAACTTACGCACCCACACATGCACGGAAAAAAGAAATCCAGTTCGGCTTAGCTGGTCGGTTCGGACCGTTAGACGCTCGCGGGTTCTCGGACTCGATTAAATCGCACGACAATAAAAATAATAACCGAACAATATATATACATATATTTATAATTCACATTTTATTATTGTATTAATAATACACAATTAAACACATTTAATTAAATATATCATTTAGGCAATTAGACAAATAAATACATAATAATAACAATAATAATAATAATAATAATAATAATAATAATAATAATAATAATAATAATAATAATAATAATAATAATAATAATAATAATAATAATAATAATAATAATAATAATAATAACTAGGCAATTAATAATAAGAATAAATCCAAAATAATTTTTATTCAAACGGGGCGTTACACAAACAGTTCAGCGACCTCTCACTGTTTATGCATTCGTCAAAGGCACTAAAGGCTAGACGCCTCTGGCGGTGTAACACACTAGACTAGGGTTCTCAGGCATATTTAAGTCATCGAAACGAACATTTATACGAAATAATGAAATGCGATAATTATAAATACACAAACTGTACCCACCTGGTCGAAAGCAAGAGATAACACAAAACACGTGTAGGTAGCGAGCTCGGCTCGTCAATCACCTACATATATTAAAATGGTCCTACAAATGACTATCCAACACATGAACACCTTATAGCAACATAGATGGATTCCAATCAGCACATCGTAGTCATATAGGCATGCATATAACAAGTAAAACCAAATTTCAAAGGTACAATACAAGATTTCCAAAACTTAACTCGCGCAGTGATTTTGAAAGTAACACAACTTGCAGCACATATATCATATAATCATTATTCCAATTACATTAAGACATGCCTCTACAATTCTTATGAAGACATCGAGAATAAATAAGGTCAATTATTAGGAGATAAATCATCAGACATTCAGAACTGAGTAGCAGTAAAAAATTGAGAACATGCAACTGACCAGACTTCAGTAATTGCTAGATAATTGGAGATACAGACATGGTTTTAATGAGATTCAAAAACCACGTGATAGGTAACTCGAATGTTTACAACTTTGTTGAAGATCACGTTGGAAAATAATCACTTTATAAATGAGTTTGAACACAAAACATTCGATTCATAAAGTCTGCCCGAGACTAAAGTATGATATAAACAGCACCTCAGTATTTGTCATCTAACTCATACTACAGACCTGCAAACAATATGATTCTTAAATGCTTAGAAAGCTAATAAATAAGGCTACAATTTTCATTTAGATTATAAAAGCAAACAAGGTCAGTTAGATAGTGTAAAAGCAGTTAACATTTCGAATCAGTTTTCTGTCAAAGTGTAAAAAAATACTTTTTGTATATCTACAATCATATGAACACAACTCGAGCAATATATATCACCTCAGCATGAATCCTATCTCATTAGAAATTTAATCAACAGAACTATAACTTTCATGAAGACTACAAATTCACTAGATCACATTATGACACCATATACAGGCCAAACATTATATAGACTCATGCTGCCGGTTCCAGAAAAACTGCTTGTACGATAAATTTGTAAAAATCATAAACTCATTCAATATTAATCGGATTATCGAAATTTCAAAGCCTCGAGAAAGATAACAAGACAAAATACAATTCACATACAGAACACATTTTCAGAAAACAATTCCTTAATGTCATAACAGAGGCACCTTACCTCCATCAAGAAAATGAAAATGATCAGGAGAAATGAAAGAAGTGTTGCTCGGTTCTTCTCCTTCTCTCCCTCTCTTGCTTGAACTCGGTTTTTCTCTATTTTTGCTAAGGTTTTCGAAGTGTTAAACTCAACTAAACTTGGAATAACACCTCTTTAAGAGCT